GATTTATGAAGAAAGACTATTTATTTGCAAAATTTTCAAAATTTTTGGACATTTTCATTTATATAGCAAAAAAAATAAAAATTCCAGTGGTGAATAAATACCACCAAAATAAAGTTTTATCTGTCTCAAAAAAATGCTATAAAATTCAAATGGCTACAGTGTTGCATGACCGCGCAATTGTCATTCAAGGTGTGATAGCACTGAAAGCTGAAAATTGGCCTGGACAGGAAGGGGGTAAAAGTGTCCGGACTTTAAGTGGTTAATAGAGCACAGACCTGTGTTTTTTCACTGTTTTAACACTTCATTCTGAAACACATTCACTAGTAACTGATTTTGGAAAAATGATTTTGCTGCAAAATTACAATTTCACTGTCGAAATTCCCAGTTTCACTCATTGAACTAATTATGCTAAACTGTCTTTTTTTAATATACCATATATAAATGAATGGGCTTTTTTTGGGGGGGGGGGGTGTACATAGTTTGTTTTGTTGCCCTTCTCAGTACTTTCTCCAGTTCAATCACAGGATTAGTGACCAAAATTGTACTGCACACTCAAGATGTGGTCATGGTTGCCAAACGTCAGTAAATTTACAGACAGTTTGTAAAAATCAGTGATTTTTTTTTCAACTGTTTGTAAATGTCCATAATGGACATTTTCTATCAGTAAAAATATGGACCTTTTGACAGAGAATTGGCATGCACTTCTTCCAAAAGATACTGGGAGCATTGGGCAGGTGCTGGCTGTGGAAGGAGCAGTCTGCTGCACTTGCTGATACTGTTCCTGTAGTTCCAACTGCAGCTCTGTCAAAGTGATCTATCATCTGCCTCTCCCCGCACAAAACTTCACTTCCACTGGTGGCACTGCCAGTACTGTGCCAGTGAGTGCTGGGATTCTGGAGCCTAGGCCACCGCCATTGGGTCCCCCCCTTCCCGAGCCCCACTGTGACAGTGTTTGATCCCTTCACCATAAAGCAAGCGCCACACTGCCAGGCAGTGACCAGCACATGCCTCGTGTGAAAGAAGAGAGGAGAGCCGGACTGGGCTCAGCTGAGTTAGCTCTGGAGAGACCACATACAGAGCACACACCAGGTGGGCACCTTAAGCAGTACTCTGCCAGGGGGGAAGCACAGTGTTCCTGCACTGCTGTCACTGCGCTTTACACTGATTTATTATCTCAGGGTATTTCCATTCTAATGTCATCCTACAACAGGAGGGGCCCCTGGACTGGAGGTAGCAGTCTCTGGACTGAAGATACCATGGGCATCATGTGGCTGAATCAGAGGTTTGTAGAGTGGTAAAATTATAGTTTTAACTCTTGAATAAATACAATTTTTAAATGTACGCTAATAGTCTGCTAGTCTTGCTTGCGACAGTTTGGAATTGCAAGATATTTCTGAGTGCGTCATTGATATAACCCCCTTTTCTATCCTCGATTCCCCTAAAGGGTTCTCTGCCTAGCAAGTAACTTGTATTCATATTTGTAGCTCTCAAGTGCATTACTTTACCTTTTTCAATATTAACGTCCTCCCAGATGGGGTTTCTCGCGGGCCCCCTGGGGTGTGCATTGGGCGCTCTGTGACCATGCTGTCCACTGAACACAGCTGATTACAGATCGAGGTGAAGGCCCAATAACGGTGGCCCTTTACCATGAGATTAGCTGTGTCCAATCACAGCTAATCACATTTAAACAAACTTGCCAGTTATCAGCATTTCCTTTCCTCACGCACTGTCACTGTGTGAGGAAAGGAAAGCTGATAACCGGCAATCCTGACAAAGCATATTTACACTGATAATCAGGGCACTGATGTTCAAGTGCCAATCAGTCCCCATCAGTGCTGCCTATCAGTGTTCATCAGTGCCGTGTATCGGTGCCCATCAGTGCCACCTCATCAGTTAAGCCTTGTTAGTGCCTTCTTATTAGTGCCTATTAGTGCAGCCTCATCAGTGCCCATTAGTGCAGTCTCATCAGTGCCCAGCAGTGCCACCTCATCAGTTTCCATCGGTGCAGCCTCACCAGTGCCCATCAGTGCAGCCTCACCAGTGCCCATCAGTGCAACGTCATCAATGCTCATCAGTACAGCCTAAGCAGTGTGCATCAGTGCAGTCTCAGCAGTGCCCATCAGTGCAGCCTCACTATTATTTATTATTATTATTATACAGTATTTATAAAGCGCCGATAGTTCACTCAGCGCTGTACATTACAAAGGGGGACAGAACATGTGACAGAACAATACCAATACAATGCAAAAAATGAGGGGATCGAGGGCCCTGCTCTTTCGAGCTTACAATCTATGCCCATCAATTCAGTCTCACCAGTTCCCATCAGTGCAGCATCATCAGTGCCCATCAGTGAAGAAGAAAAATTACGGATTTGCAAAATTTTATAGCAGATACTAAGAAAAATGTTTTCCCCCACAATTTTCAATCTTTTTTTTTGTTTGTTTAGCAAAAAATTAAAAAAAATGGTGAATAAATACCACCAAAAGAAAGCTCTGTCTTAAAAATATCTAAAATGTTCATATGGGTACAGTTTTGCATGACCGCGCATATGTAATTCAAAGTGTGAGATTGACCTGGCAGGAAGCAGATGAAAGTGTCCAGTACTGAAGTGGGTAATGGGCACAGGAATGAGTGCCAAATAAAGGTTCACAAAGTTTTTTCATGTTTCCTGTTTTCACAACTAATAAGCAGAAGTGCTGATAGAGAGAACTCCAACAACAAAGCAAAGGACATTAAATTGTTTTTTAGTTGCATTCAGAAACATCTAGTAGTGACAACTATGAGGAAATAATGTCAAAAACAGAATAATGAGTGGAAATTACAATAAAATAATAATGCTGTTTAATTGGCTTCAAGGTTCAAAAAAATGTACCAAAAGCTTAAACACTTTTTCACTGTATTGAAATGCCAAGAGTTATCTGGAATCTATATAGGAGGTTTAAATTAACACTGGTTAGGAAGAATTGTTGGAAAGTACATTGCATTTACATCTTTGATTCAGTATATTTTTGATCAATCGTGTTATTATTTTTGCATTTGCAGATTTTTATTTGACCCTTGTCCCAAAACTTCTAGTTATGTTTATCTTTGCCTTGTTTTCTTTTCACTTTAAAACTGGTAGACTAGCTGGAAGCTGCTGGCACAGCAGCTGTGTTTGGCTTTGGAGATATTGTCAGAGAGCAGATTGCAAAACTTTTCAGTTAAAGGGGCTTTTCACTTTTTTTCCTTGTTAATATATGCCTTCCCTCTGTGGACAGTTAAGTTCCTACTGTTTTGCTAGAAAGAAAGAAAGCAGAAGAAAAACTAAAATATCTTCTAAAACACTAGTAGAGGGATTTTGACAAAATTGATTTTGCTGCAAAATTACAGATTTCACTGTTAGTGAGAATTCACCAAGTGGAAACTCTCCATTTCACTCATTGAACTAATTAAGTATTTGATTCCCTGCTGATTTTGAATGTTTGCCCACTCACAAAGAAATGATCAGTCTAAAAATCAAATGGTAGGTGTATTGTAACACAGAGACAGAATAGCAACAAAAAAAAATTCGAAAGAAATGCACGTCTAACAAATTATGCACTGATTTGCATGTGCAGGAGGGAAATAAGTATTTGATCCCCTATCATTCGGCAGTATTTCTTGCTACCAGGTGTCTTTCATACAGGTAACAAACTGAGATTAGAAGCAGTCTCTTAAAGGGAGTGCTGCTAATCTCATTTTGTTACCTGTATAAAAGACACCTGTCCACAGGAGCAATCAAACAATCAGATTCCAAACTCTCCACCATGGCAAAGACCAAAGAGCTGTTCAAGGATGTCAGGGACAAGATTGTAGATCTACACAAGGTTGGACTGGGCTACCAAACAATCACCAAGCAGCTTGGTGAGAAGGTGACAACAGTTGGTGCACTCATTCGCAAATGGAAGAAACACAAAACAACTGTCAGTCTCCCTAGGTCTGGTGCACCATGCAAGATCTCACCTCGTGGAGTGTCAATGATCATGAGAATAGTGAGGAATCATCCCAGAAATACACGAGGATCTTGTCAATAATCTCCAGGCAGCTCGGACCACAGTCACCAAGAAAACAATTGGTAACACACAACGCTGACAAGGATTAAAATCCTGCAGTGCCCGCAAGGTCCCTCTGCTCAAGAAAGCACATGTCCAGGCCCATCTGAAGTTTGCCACTGAACATCTGAATGATGCAGAGGAGGACTGGCTGAAAGTGTTGTGGTCAGATGAGACCAAAATCGAGCTCTTTGGCATCAACTCAATTCGCTGTGTTTGGAGGAGGAGGAATGCTGCCTATGACCCCAAGAACACCATCCCAACTGTCAAACATCGTGGTGGAAACATTCTGCTTTGGGGGTGTTTTTTCTGCTAAGGGGACAGGACAACTGCACTGCATCAAAGGGACGATGGACGGGGCAATGTACCATCAAATTTTGGGTGAGAACCTTCTTCCCTCAGCCACGGCATTGACAATGGGTCGTGGATGATTGTTCCAGCATGACAATGACCCAAAACACATGGCCAAGGCAACAAAGGAGTAGCTCAAGAAGAAGCACACTAAGGTCCTGGAGTGGCCTAGCTAGTCTCCAGAGTTGAAAATCTGTGGGGGGAGCTGAAAGTTCGAGTTGCCAAACTTTCAGCCACCAAACCTTAATGACATGGAGAGGATCTGCCCAGAGGAGTGGGCCAAAATCCCTCCTGAAATGTGTGCAAACCTGGTGGCCAACTACAGGAAACGTCTGACCTCTGTGATTGCCAACAAGGGATTTGCCACCAAGTACTAAGTCATGTTTTGTGAAGGGGATCAAATAGTTATTTCCCTCATGAACATGCAAATCAGTGCATAATTTGTTAGATATGAATTTCTTTTGAATTTTTTGTTGCTATGCTGTCTCTCAGTGTTACAATACACCTACCATTCTATTTTTGACTGATCACTTCTTTGTGAGTTGGCAAACATTCAAAATCAGCAGGGGATCAAATACTTGTTTCCTTCACTGTACACTATATTGCCAAACGTAGTGGGACACCCCTCCATATCATTGCATTCAGGTGTTCCAATCACCTCCATGGCCACAGTTGTATGAAATCAAGCACCTAGGCATGCAGACTACTTCTTCAAACATATGTGAAAGAATGGGTCGATCTCAGGAGCTCAGTGAATTCAAGCTTGGTACCGTGATAGGTTGCCACCTGTGCAATAATTCCATCTGTGAAATTTCCTTGCTACTTAATATTTCACGGTCAACTGTTAGTGGTATTATAACAAAGTGGAAGCAACTGGGAACAACAGCAACTCAGCCACAAAGTGGTAGGCCATGTAAAATGAAATAGCGGGGTCAGCGCAAGCTGAAGTGCACAGTGCGCAGAAGTCACCAACTGGTTGCAGAGTCAATAGTTAAAGAATCCAAACGTTATGTGGCCTTCAAATTAGCACAACAGTGCATAAAGAGCTTCATGGAATTGGTTTCCATGGCTGAGCAGCTGCAGCCAAATGCAACATCATTAAGTGCAATGCAAACATCACCAACATCACCAAGTGCAATGCAAAGTTGGATGCAGTGGTGTAAAGCACGCCACCACTGGACTCTATTCTCTGTTTGACAATCTGATGGACGTGCCTGGGTTTGGCGGTTTCCAAGAGAACGGTACTTGCCAGATTGCATGGTGCCAAGTGTAAAGTATGGTGGAGGGGAGAATATGGTGTGGGATTGTTTTTCAGGAGTTGGGCTTGGCCCCTTAGTTCCAGTGAAGGGAACTTTAAAGGCGTCAGCATACCAAGACATTTTGGACAATTTCATGCTCCCAACTTTGTGGGAACAGTTTGGGAATGGCCCCTTCCTGTTCCAACATGACTGCGCACCAGTGCACAAAGCAAGGTCCATAAATATATGGATGAGCAAGTTTGGGGTGGAGGAACTTGACTGGCCTGCACAGAGTCCTGATCTCAACCTGATAAAAGACCTTTGGGATGAATTAGAGCGGAAACTGCAAGCCAGGCCTTATCGTTTGACATCAGTGCCTGACCTCACAAATGGTCAAATATTCCCATAGACACGCTCCCTAAACCTTGTGGACAGCCTTCCCAGAAGAGTTGAAGCTGTTTTAGCTGCAAAGGGTGGGCCAACTCAATATTGAACCCTACGGACGAAGAAGATTGGGATGCCATTGAAGTTCATGTGCGTGTTAAAGGCAGGTGTTCCAATACTTTGGAAATATAGTGTGTATATATATATATATATATATATATATATATAAAATTAAAAAAGTTTGTGGACACCTGATAATCTCACATACTATATGGCAAACATTATGTGACACCCGCACCTACAGTAATTTTTGAGTGCAGGTGTTTCCAATGAAGGTAGTCAATGTTAAAGCATACAAAGAAATATTACACAAATGTGGGCTTCCAACCTTGTGATGACAGTTTTAGGACGTGACTGTGCCCAAAAGTCAGGTTTAAAATGATATGGTCTGATGAGCTTGGTGTGGAGGAATCTGAGTTGCCTTCACAGAGTTGCCTCAACCCTATTGAAGATCTTTGGGATATACTGAAATGCCTATTGTGTCCCAGACCTTTTCATTCAACATCAGTACTAGACCTCACAAATGCTCTTGTTACTAAATGGACCAAATTCCCACAGAAACGCTTTCCAGTGGAACCTGTTATAGCCCCAAATTGTTGTTCAGTTGTGTATCAATGCTCATGGTTTTGGAATGGCATATTTAACAAACTCGTATATTGTAGGTGTGATGGTCAGGTGTCCATAAACCTTTGACTCCAATCAGTGTGATGATATTGGATGTGTTGCTGACAACTGTCCTGCCCTTAAAAAACACACACCTGTTTTGGGTATACTGGTTTCAAGAAGCACTGTCTGATGTGAACCATACCTCGCAGAAAAGAGCTCTCAGAAGACCTATGATCAAGAATTGTTGACTTCCATGAAGCTGGAAAGGGTTACAAAAGTATCTCCAAAAGCCTTGATGTCCATGTGTCCACGGTAAGACAGACTGTCTACAAATGGAGAAAGTTTAGCACTGTTGCTGTAACGGACCACCTGACAGCACCTCTATCAGTCCCCTGATAGAGCCTCCCCAGAGTGCGGAGTTTAAGTACCGGAGCACTTGTTCACCAGGGCCCCTGATGGTGGGGATGGACTTGGAGCATTCCGGGACCAGGTTGCAGCTACTGGGTATCTCTACCAGAGGTAGAGGAGTCTGCCAGAGGCTCCTGTGGGTTAAGAGTCTGATGTGAGGGAGCCCGGGGATCCCTGAGGGATGGATGGATGAGCAAGATCAGAGTCAAACAGGCCGTGTCGGTAACTAGCGGGTCGGTGCGGTACAAGACGGTAGGCAAGGGATAGTCGGGTCACACGCAGGGTCAATACCAGAAGATCAGATCTATAAGGGAGCATCCAGGAGCAGAGTTAGGCAAGCCAAGGGTCAGGACAGGAGAAGGCAACAAGGTCAGACAATCCAGATCAGAGTACTCACAACACAGGCAACAGGATGCGCAAAGACCATTCGGCAACAAGTGTCTGTTCAGGGCTGGTTTAAGTAGCCCGCCCTGCACCTGACAGGCGCAGCCTAGGTCCTAGTGCCTGCCCAGTACTGTCATAGACGATGGGTGCGCCTGGGTCCTAGTGCCCTGCTGCCTGCATGTCTTGACAGACACCTACGCATGTGTAGACCCATGCGTCGCAATGGTCCCTGACATTGCCCCCCCCCTATGGGCATCCTCCGGGTGCCCAACTGATCTCTCCTCCATGGGTGGCTACGATGGAACTCCCGGATGAGTCTAGGGGCATGGACATTTTGGGCTGGTTCCCAAGAGTTCTCCTCTGGACCATAGCCTTTCCACTTAATCAAGAACTGGGTCTGGCCTCCCCTCCTTCGACAATTTAGAATTGCTTCCACTTCAAATTCCTCTTGGTCCTCAACAGTAATGGCTTCAGGGGGTCTGGATTCCCGGTCCGGAAATGGATCTGAGACCACCAGTTTCAGCAATGAAACATGGGACACCAGGTGAATCTTAAAGGTTTCTGGAAGGACAAGCTCATAAGCCACTTTGTTAACCATGCGTTTGACCTGAAAGGGTCCTAAAAATTTTGGCCCTAGCTTCTTCGAGGGACAAAGTAGTTTCAGGTTAGTTATTGCTAGCCAGACCTTATCCCCTGGTTGCAGCACTAGTTCCCCCCTTCACTTCTTGTCAAACTTCTCTTTGTTATCTTCCTGGGCCTTAGCCATGGCCTCCTGCAGTAGTTTGTTGTTATCAGAAAGAAAACTGACCATGCTTTGGGTAGCTGGAACTGTGCTTTCAGCAATCAGGTCAGGCATGAAGGTGGGGTGGAATCCGTAATTTGCAAAAAACGGCGATTGCCCTGTGGCTGAGTGGTTTGCGTTATTGAAAGCGAATTCTGCTAGGGGCAAGAGTGTCAGCCAGTCGTTTTGCAAAAAAGACGTGTAGCACCTCAGGTACTGCTCCAAGATCTGGTTGGTCCTCTCTGTCTGTCCGTTGGTCTGGGGATGAAAAGCGGAGGAGAGCGATAGCTTGATACCCAGGGCCCTGCACAAGGCTCTCCAAAATTTGGAGGTAAATTGTACCCCGCGATCGGATACCACGTCTTCTGGAACCCCATGTAACCTGACCACTTCTCTGATAAAAATCCGAGCAGTCTCTATAGCCGAAGGAATACTCTTCAAGCGTACAAAATGAGCCATCTTCGACAGGCGGTCAACAATGACAAAAATTGCAGTATGACCCTGGGACGGAGGTAGCTTCACTATAAAAATCCTTGGCTATCATTTGCCAAGAGCGAGCAGGAATGGGTAGGGCGTAGCAGGCCCCAGGCCTTGTTTCTAGTTGGCTTGTTTCTCTGGCAAACAGCACAAGACTTCACGTATCGTTTACAATCTCTGTTCATGTTAGGCCACCAGAAGGTGCGTTTCAGCAGCTCCAGCGTTTTTTGCCACTCCAAAATGCCCTGCCATTGGATGATCGTGACAGTGCCCCAAGACCTGCATCTGCACCTCCTCTGGTACCACAATCAATCCCTCCTTTCGTATCAAACCTCCTTCGCGGGAGAGTGGTACTTCTGGTAAGGAAGACCATGTCCCTGATGCGTCTTGCAGTTTTGCACGCAGATCAGTTTGAAAGGCCATTCCCTGATGACACGATGGTATCCAGCCTGAGTTCCTCCTTGGGGTCCTCAAACACGCGCGAAAGGGCGTCTGGCTTAGTATTCTTTGAACCCAGCCTATAAGTGATGTGGAACGAAAAAACGAGAAAAGAAGAGTGCCCACCTAGCTTGGCGTGGCCTTAGGCGTTTAGCTGTTCTTAGATATTCGAGATTCTTGTGATCTGTGAAGATCAAAATTGGGTGGGCTGCTCCTTCCAGCAAGTATCTCCACTCCTCCAGAGCCGTCTTGATGGCCAGTAGCTCTCGGTCCCCAATGTCATAGTTACGCTCTGCCGGGGTAAGTTTCCTAGAGAAAAATGCCACTGGATGCAGCAGTTTTTTTGGCCCTTTCCTCTGGGACAGAATTGATCCCACCGCGTTTTCGGATGCATCCACTTCTAGCACATATGGTAGTGCTGCGTCCGGGTGGCCCAGAATGGGAGCTGTGGTAAACAATCGTTTCAAAGTTTGAAATGCTTCCTGAGCTTCTGATGTCCATTTAAAGCGGACCCCTGACTTAGTCAGCTGCGTGATAGGGGAGACCAGACCTGAAAAATTCCTAATGAACTTCCTGTAGAAGTTGGCGAACCCAATGAATCGTTGGACGCCTTTTTTATCAGTTGGGATTGGCCATTCAAGAATTGCCGCGACTTTTTGGGAATCCATTGCGACCCCCGCAGTGGAGATGATCAGACCCAGGAAAGAAATGCTCTGCTATTCAAAACAACACTTATCGGCCTTGGCATATAAGCTGTGTAGGCGCAAACGCTCCAGAACCTTAATCACATGAACTCTATGGGTGTCTAAGGATGGTGAGAACATCAGGATGTCATCTAGGTACACAAAGACAAAAATGTCCAGGAAATCCCTGAAGACATCGTTAACAAAATGCTGGAAGGTGGCCGGAGCATTGCAGAGTCCAAAAGGCATAACCAGATACTCGAAGTGGCCGAACTGAGTGCGGAAAGCTGTCTTCCACTCGTCCCCTTCCCGGATGCGTACCAAATTGTATGCCTACGCAGGTCCAACTTGGTAAAGCAAATCGCCACTCTCAGGCTTTGGAAGAGCTCTGGGACTAGTGGTAAAGGGTAGCGGTTCTTAATCGTAATTCGATTTAATTCCCGATAATCTACACAAGGCCTCAAGGTTTTATCTTTCTTTTCCACAAAGAAAATACCCGCCCCTGCCGGTGAAGTGGAAGGACGGATACATTTCTTCTGGCGGTTCTCCTCTATATATTCCTTCAACACCCCCAATTCCACCTCAGGTAATGGAAAAATGCGGCCAAAGGGAATCTCGGATCCTGGTAATAAATCAATAGGACAGTCATATGGGCGATGTGGGGGCAAGGTGTCGGCCCCACGTTTGCTAAAAACGTCAAGGTA